ATATGATAATTTAAATATATATTTATTTTATTAGAATATAATTTATTTTTTAAAATATTATTTTTTGATAGAAAAAATATGTATGGGTAACATGGTAGTGGGGCAAGTGCCCCCACTACCCTCAAAGTAAATTTGTCCCTTTATAAAATTATTATTTTTAATTATTATTGTTCACGAAATATATTTTAGGCTAAAAATCTAATTTGGTCTCTTATAATATATTTTAAAGTTTTAATTTAGTCTCACCTTAATTTTTTGTTTTAATTTTGTCTCTAATAATTTAAATTATTGCAATGTCGGACTTCCGTCCAAATTTCTTAAACGGAATTAACTATTAGCTACGTGGATGCCACGTAGATATCACATAGAATGCATGATGGTCCCTTGAATAAGAGCCATTAACTAATTATTTAGAAGAATATTATATAAACAAAATGGACGGATTCCATTTAAAACCATTAATATTAAGCGATCATTAGAGAAGTGGCCGTTAAATAGATTTCAAATACTGTAGATTGTAGAAAGAAAAAAAAAAGTTTGTTTCATGTTAGTTAATAAATAAGTAAAAATGTTTTAATTCGATCAAAGGTGGGCCAGTTCATTACTATGGCTTGAAATGAAAGGGGCTGAGCCGAAGGCCATGGTTTACTTGGTGAGCAAAAGTTGGAGACTCAGTTTTCTTTTTTAATTAGATGAAACTAGTGGCAGTGCAGTAAGTAGGTAGGACAGCCTAAGATGTAACTTTTTGGTATTGTTCAGGCTAACCTTTTGGAAGGTTTTTCTGCATGTAGTAGTGGTAGGCTGCGAATCACTAACGGAGGTGAGGTTTGTTTACCAACAACTCACTTTACATATACAAGTCATATGGTCTTTCTTTCTTCCCCTAAGTTAGAAAAGATTGACTGCCATGTATGACGCTGGATTTCTTAACTTGCTTTCCAGGAATTCCGTCATGGCACGTCTAACACATCTCTCTGTCTCCCCCCCTCCCCTTCCTTTCTGCGTTTTCCAATCAATGATTTTAGGTATTTGAAATTTACGTGAAAAGCAAATCCAATGCTCAAGAATGGACCTTGGCTGTTGTAAGAAAAGAAAAAGAAAGGTAAAATGAATTAAACGTTTTTCATTAATCAATTTGTGTATTGCAATTTTTCTAACAATTCAATAATTTAATTTTTTTTAAAATGTTGAGGTATATTAGCTTTAATTTGTGAAAGAAATTTGATTTATTTTATGTTTTATTCTTATATAAGTACGAGTATAATATATTGTTTGTTTTTTCTAAAATTTCTCTAGTTTAATTTTTGCCTCAAATAAATAATCCAATTTTGGTCCTTTTTTTAAATTTATTTCAAATTGTTTTCTTTTTACCTTCAAAAGAATTTAAATAATGTTTTATAATCGTTTTTAAATGTTACATGAACTTATTTGAGAATCAAAATTGGTGTATTTTTAATTTTTAATTTGAAATAATTCTATTATTTTTTTGAGAGTCGTTGAATTTGGAATTTTAGAGAGCCTAAAAAGTAAAGATATTTTACATGCAAGTATTTCTTGAGAAAATTATCAAACCCTGCCGGAAAACATAATAGAAAACGCTAGCTTTTGAATTCCAACACCTTGAAAAATGTCAGTTGACTACTTTCTTAATTATTTTTTATTTGCACATATTTCAAACCAATAGAATTAAGATTTATTTTTCCTCTTTAAGGAGTAAAGATACTGGAGTGTGGCTACTAGAATTATGAATGATGGTCCCTTGAATAAGAGCCATTAACTAATTATTTAGAAGAATATTATATAAACAAAATGGACGGATTCCATTTAAAACCATTAATATTAAGCGATCATTAGAGAAGTGGCCGTTAAATAGATTTCAAATACTGTAGATTGTAGAAAGAAAACAACATACGTATGGGACCTTGCCACCTATGCATCTACGTAGCATCCACATGATCAACAGTTAACTCCGTTTAAGAAATTTGGACGAAAGTCTGACATTGCAGTAATTTAAATTATTAGAGACCAAATTGAAACCAAAAATTAAAGTAGGACTAAATTGAAACTTTAAAATATTATAAGGGACCAAATTAGGTTTTTAGCCAAAATAATATTAATCATCAAAATTGTATAATAAATAGTATTACTTGCGTTATTTAATTCAATATTAAATACAGTTAGGTCTATTAAATTTAAGTTTATTTTTCTATCGGTAGGAAAAATTAAAACTTCGATAACGAGAATCGAATTTAAATTTATGTATTTACTTCAATCGCACACCAGGTCCATTGTAGTAATTATATTAATTTAATTTTAAATTTTTTTAAAATTAAAGTAAGAACTTTAGACAATTTTAACATAAAAACTTAATTTAAACTAAAAGTTTCATTTCATTGTCTGGTCAGAGGAAAACTAAAGTGTGTGGCTTATTTTTAAGGCATTGGTTAGTTTAAGATGAGAGCTCGAGGGACTAATTAGGTATGTAGTTTAATTTTAAAAGTTAGTTCAATTAAAATTACTTTTTTTTTTCACTTTTTTTTTATATAAAAATAAACTTAATTTTTATGGATTCATATTCGAGCGCGTTTGACTTAGTTCTCCTTTTACGGAAAAGAAAACTGAAAAACGTAGAAAATCCATACTCTAAATTGTTTTCATGTTGTAAATGGATGCCACGTACATAAGACAATGAGTTCTTATCTTCCTAGCAGAAATTTAGCCAGGGAGCTAGAAAAGCTAGCTCTACAAGAAACTTGTTTTAAGAGGGAGGGCCACAAGGTTAGTCATGCATGTAATGCAACACTTATGTCTATACAAGATTCTAATACAAGATTGCAAGAACGAAGATGTTCAAACATATCATTTGTTTGAAATGTATGCCCTAAAATTAATTTTCCATGTAAACCTTGAGATTACGCATTTCAAATATTCTAATATAAAATATCAGCTGTGTGTGGGTGAGGCTCATCACGTTCACACCAACTCTTGCGTGTAGGAAACTACAACTCATTTGTTTTTACATTGCCTTTCCCATATCCATCTATATATATTTTTTCACAATACCATTACCTTTATCTCCTACCACTTTGTTTCCTCTAAGATTATCGTCAATTCAAACCACATGGCTTCTACAAACAAGCCTGTTGAATCTGAATACAAATCATCTTCAACTCCAGTACTTCATGCTTCAGCTCCCGCTGGTGTTGATTACTTTAAATTTGATGTCATCCTAAGGTTTCTCTTGTTTGCAGCATCACTGGTATCTGTTGTGGTCATGGTCACGGGTAATCAAACATTAAATATTCCTCTGCCACTGTCAGCCAAGTTCAGATACTCACCATCCTTTGTGTATGTTCCCTCCAAATTCCTACTACATTTATTTTAATTATAACTCTTCTTTTCTTCATGCAAACAAAGTGCTGCAAGCTAATGTTTTGCTTTGATATATATGTGAGTATATGCCTTTTTATTGTGCTTATTTGCAACATGTGACCATATGATATGACATTTATTTTCATGAAGAACCAATTATAAGAATCGATTTGAATGTTAAGGATACCTGCTAACGACAAAAAAGACATATGTATGAATTGTTTCCTCTGTCAAGAGTGTTTTTTCTCCCTACATATATGAATCTTGAGAATCCAAGACTAAATGCGTGTTTGGGAATATGTCCAAAACATGGATTGGATCATAAATATTCACATCCATGGTGCAAGAGTTACAACTGAGGATTTCCATTTTGACGTGACAAATCATATCCAGAATTTGAACGAAACACACACTATGTACTTAAAGGACGCAAGTTCCATATTTCAGACCAACACATGTTGGTTTTCTTTAGTATTACATCTTTTTGGGGAATTGTTGCTTTGATGTTTTGCCCTTGTGAACGTGCATGAAATTTCAAACCGCCGTACGTCTATCATATCTAATATAATTAAGTGCTTCCAAGGGGGGGGAAGTTTTTATTTTTTATTTTTTGATTCCTTGTGAACATCCATGAAATTTTCAAACGGCCGTTGTGTTTCTTCTGTAGCATCTAAAACTTGACACAAGTTGCAAAGCTAAAATCCCCTTTTAAAGGAAAAGTCGTCCATGATGGCTTTGCTCAATATTCAATGTGTTATTTTCTTGTATGTCCATTTTTTTCTCTCTCTGTTCTAATTTCCTGATGTCATGATTTTAAGGCATTCGCTTGTTTTTATATTTATGTTAATTATAGATCCAAAGTTTTCCATTTACATATAACTATCAATTTATTTATTAAAATGCCCTATTTTGACCGAGATGTTTTTTTGTCAAACAAGTATTGTCAATGTTGGTTGTAGTTTGACATATTATAATGTAATAATATACGTGCAGGTATTTTGTGGCTGCATTCTCCGTTTCTGGCCTTTACAGCATCATTACAACTATTGCATCACTCTCTGCTATTAAAAATCCAACCCTCAAAACGAAGTTGCTCCTCTACTATGTCTTGTGGGATGCGGTAAGTAATCTTTCTTTCTCAACTCACTTGGTTTCATTTATTTATAAATCAAAATCAAAGCATAACCAACATGAGTGTTGGCAGGTGATACTGGGCATAATAGCCTCAGCAGTAGGCACAGCAGGGGGCATGGCATATTTGGGTTTGAAGGGAAATAAACACGTGAATGGTTGGAACAAAATTTGCAATGTTTTTGACAAGTTCTGTAGGCATGTTGGTGGCGCCGTAGGCGTGGGTTTGTTTGGAAGCATTGTCACAGTCTTGCTCATTTGCCTTTCAGCTTACAGCATTCATAGCCGAGTCCCCAAGTAGATGGAATGGAAGGAACATCGATTAGTGTTCTCTCAGTAATTGTCAAGTGTGTAGATGACTTAATGTGTTGCTTCAATCGTGTTAATTATTTTTTTTTGTAATTCAGTATAAGGACTCAGTTGTATTTTACATGTCATTCGTGCCATAAATGATTGAAGTTATTAATTCTACATGCTCGCACAAATACAAAGTAGGATAAATAATTCACTGAATAGATAAAATCACTCAGTTACACCTCTAAGAGAAAAAATAAAAAACAAAATAAGATAAATTTTTCATGAACTAAAAATAACTTATGTACAAGTTAAAAATACATTTTAAAAGAAATTAACATGAGAAAACTTTTACAAATTAAACTATGCATAAACTAATTTTAACTTAAAAAAAAATATTTTACTTTTTCTATTTTTTCTTCTAGAAGTAGATCCTGATCCTGATAAAGTTATCCAAACAGATTTTATATCTTTAATGATTTGCACTGTAGTTGTTGGTCGGTCTCTCTACTCTCCAATGCAAGAAACAAAATGAGAATTTTCCCTGCACAAGTTACAGCATTTGCAGTATGTTTATACAAGATAACTCCTAAATTTGAGTAAACATTACCAAACCTTCATGCATTTTTTTTCATTTTATGAGATGTTGCAATGAATCAAGTTGCCAAGTTGGTGAAGTCTGAGTTATATACAACGAGATACGGAGTTCAAATATGCCATGTGAAGAAGATAATAAAAATTATGAACTTATTATTGTGTTATCATTGATGACATACTATACATGTAATATTACAAGTTACAACAGAATTTTTAAAACAACAACTATACACATAAATACCGAAAGACATTAAAACTTTAGTTGATTTCCCTACAGCTATTCCAATCTTTGGGTAACCTGGAAGGACCAAGATGTTGATGTACGACCAACCACAGAGATCTGAACACGTAAAACCTCATGAATAGTACCTCGGCGAAGCACTCCCAGAACATGTTCATCATCTTCTGTTGCCAAACCTGCCAAAGAAACCCACCTAGAATGTGATTCGTCCCTCATACGGAAGCCATAGAACCATCTACCAACTTTCCACCACTTCACGCAGACACGCCGATCTGATATCTCGCGTGTCTGAAGAGCTTCTACAAGATTATCACCCTGCCAATGGAAACATTTGCATGTAAAATACATAACACTCTGGTTTACTCCTTCAAAAGGTTTCATATGCTTTCCATCATCAAGGCTGAAGACTCGAGTGTTAAATAGGCTTAATTGTTAAATGTGTAACAGAGTATGAGACCAATTTAGATCAACCACATTAAGAGGTATCTACATTATTTGATCCACTTGTTTACCTACTTCAAGTGCCCAGAACCCTAAACAAATCTATTCAATTAAATATTCGATGCACCGTGTGCTGTACCATCTTATATAACAATTTCTATGTAAACGATTTATTGGGAACGAGAAAAGAGAAACGAGAAAACATATATTACAGAACATTGTTCAACTTTATCCTATGTATTTCTCATATTTCTCGATCAAAGAATAAAGGATAGGAATGAAATTCAAAGGAAAAGGAAACAGGTAAAAGATGAAAAGACACCACTTATTACTAAAGGTTTCAACAGTACAAACTTGGGAAAAGAGCAACGAATGACAAAAGATTTGTCACGTTAAATGGCATATTATCTTATTTTCAACAAACATAAAATGCACACAACACTATTACCCAATGATATTAACACTGACCAAAAGATATTTTATTTGATTGATAGAATTAGAAGCTTATGAAAAGCTATGAAAAAATTGAAGCATTGAGGAAACAAATAAACAACTTTCTCGATTAAATGTGGTGTAAAGGAAACAAGCACAATAAATTTTGCACAAATGGTTAGCTGAGCTAAACTTGAATAAAGTCAGATACACACAATAAAACATCCATTCGGATTCACAGTTGGAAAATGCCAAACCTTATTTAATCATGTTTTCTAGTTGCAGCCTTGCAGCAAATAAAAGTTAACTGTAGCATGTATACCGTCGCCAATATGCCAAAGACAGTTTAATTAACTGATGCATAGTAATTATCCATATTATCAGCAAGTTAAACAAAGGTGAAGGGTGTGTTTGGAAACCATTTCCAACCTTGTAAACGGAAGTTACCACTTTGGCACTTGCTAAAGCAGCAAATGTAAAAGGAATGAGGCTGATTCATTGGCGTTTAGTTTAACTAAATTGAGTTCCAAACACACTCGAAGCAATTCCCTTATAAAGGAACCAAAAATATATGGGATCTCAAAAAGGAGTTTATCTAGTTAAATTGTAAATAAACTAAATCAAAATAGGGTGTCAAAGAAAGAGAATACCCGAATCCCAAGGGTTGTGAGGCAATAATGTACCCCAACCAAGTTAATCAGCACATTCATTTGAGGGTTGAACAAAAATCTCTGCACGTCTTCAAAACCAAACCTCGTACCAATCAAGGTGTCAACAGCTTTCAGATAGTCCCCAACCTCGAGTGATTCAGAACGTGAACAAGCTTCGAGAAACTTCTCAACAGACTTTGCTCTAACACCCAATTCCACGTGCCTCTCCAAGTACAATTTCCTCCACTTCTGTAACCCAATTTCCAAACAACAATTACCATGCATTCAACCACCAAAACATCAACACCATAGAACCATAATTTAGTAGAGCTTATGCTCTTACTCAACTAATCAGAGATCGATCAAGCTAAGAATGACTTGTAAAAAGTCAGTAATATTGCCATACATCACCATTTCTTATTCATTGACAATATAACAATCTTTTACACCGTTAATTTACATACAATTTACTCAATTAAATAACAAGGGGCCATGTTCTTTCCTTCAAAGATTAAAAAAACGACTTAGGAAAAAAAATAACAAATTTAGGGCTAAGGTGATGATTACCCAGAATCCCAATTCAGAAACCAATAAAGAAAAGTACCAAACTTTGTTTAATTAAGGTTGAATAACAAATAGGGTGTTCCTTAAAAAAGAACAGAATCAGTTGATTAATACCTTGAAATTGGGAGAGTGGGTGGAAGAGGAAGAAGAAGAAGAAGGGCAATGGGAGGAAGAGAATAAGGGCCATCTATTTCTGACAAGAGACTCCCAAATGCAATCTGAGAAGCAGAGTTCCCTCCAGAACCTCGAACAGCAACCTAAGGCACACAAATCCCGCCCCTTTTTTTTTTTTTTTTTTGCATCAAATTGAAAACAATACAGAAGGGTCAGGAAAAAATCAAAGCTTTCGGATGTCAGGTAAATTGAAATTGGTGATCAGAATAGAATCGAAAGGGGGAACCTGAAGCATCGAAGCAATTTTGATGGCAACATCTTCAGGAAGGGAACTGAGGACGGAGACAGAATCCAGTTTTCCTTTGTGCATTTGCAAATAGAATGATCAGTGTTGTATTTGGAGAAGAATTTCAACCAACTCCCTATTAGTATTACATGGCGCCAGTGAATCCACGACTCTGATCTAAATCATTCTGCTCACAAAGTTTTTTCTTTTTTCTATAAATAAATTAATTTAGGATTTTCCTATAATCTTATATTTGTTCTGGAAAATGCTGCGATACTAATATATAAAAGGAATATATTTTTTTAAGTAATTACCACAGTTTATTAATATATTCTTTTATTTTAAAAAATTAAAAAAAATTAATATTTTTAATTAAATTCAAAAACTCGAAACTAATAAATTAATTATAATATTTATTTATTTTTATTTTATATATAATAGAGATATGAAGTACTTTAATCTTACTAATGTTTATATAATGAGATTTATTCCTTCAATCTCTAATGAGTATTAATATGCATATTTAATCTACCTTAATCATTTAATCCATGTCAATCTTACTTAGAATAATACTTATTATTATTAACTTCAAAAAATAATGTGGTACTTATTATTATTATTTGGATTCGAATTATTTCATATTTCTATTTATTTTTTATAAATAAAAAAAACTTCAAAAGTAATTATATATCAATTATAGTAAGAAAAAAAAATTATATGAATAGTAAAAAGTTTTCATTTATAATAGAGATATATCTTTTAATTATTAAAAAAGATTAAAAAATTTAAAATATAAAACCAAAAATTTAAATATAAATAAATTAATTTATTTGTTAAGAAAGTTGTAAAGAATAAAATAGTCTCATTAAAAATAAAGACAAAAATAATTGAAAGAAAGTATCTTTAATATGTTATTGTAGATTATTATTATAGGAAAAATTATGTTTACTCTATCTGACATTATCCTTTTATAAATAAACAACACCCTTTAGGTTTGTATCTTTATTCAAATAATATCTTAAACTTAATTTGTTTAATTGACCTTTAAATTTCATCTTAAAGTGCATTAAATTTAGTCCATAGTTAATAGGAGTTATATTATGAAATATGCATATGTATAATACTTTATAAAGATACATATTTTTATTTAAGTGAATTTTATGTCGAATTTGTTTAATTAATTCTTAAATTTTATCTCACAGTCTATTAAAGTTAGTTGATAGTTAAGCTTCTTACACATGTTAATAGGAGTTTTATTATAGAAGATGCATATGTATAATATTGTATAGAGAGACATATTCTAATTAAGTGACTTTTATGTCTAAAAAGGAATTAAATTTCTTTTATACATACACATTTTAATTTTGATGTCATCTTAATTAATTCATAAAATATATCTTTTTATATATAAATAATTTATTATTTCTCATACTAAATTACTAAAAACAAAATAAATTTTCATTTATTCATTTTAAATTTAAATTTTCATTTATTTATTTTAATCTCAATCATTTATTATCTTTATAAATTACTTTTGCAAACATCAAAACACAATAAAATGTAGAATTGAAAAATTAATCATTTTACTTATTATTATTATTATTATTATTATTTATTAGTCTTTTCTAAATTTGTATTTTATTATATTTTAATATATGAAAAAAAATTGTAAAAAAAAAGATAAATATTCATGAAGAAATGAAATTTAATATAAATAATTTAATCCTAATTTGAAGAAAATAATTATTTGAAAAAAAAAGTTCTAAAGATTAGTTTAAATGAAGGTGTCAAAAAAAATTAACTAAAAAATCTAAAAATCAATTAGAATAAGATTTGAGTTTAGAATGTTTATTTGTTAAAAAAATAAAGTTTAGGAATATTAAATTCTATTTTCTTAATTTTAAATATCATTTGAGAATTTTTAATTAGTTTTTGAAAAAAATTTAATCGTACTTTAGTTTGGATCACCCAATGGTAAACTAGTTTCAAGAAGAAGAAAAAAAAATATAAAAGATTGCATTAGAGATAAATAAATAAATAGTAACTTTACCGATTCATAATTACAAGAAGGTCGCTTATTGTTTGGGGGTACGAGCATTATATGTATTACAAAATTTCATAACTACAACAAATTAATTTGAAATTTTAAAATATGATGAAATCTTGGTGTAATTTTTTTTTTCCATTATCAATCCATATTGTTTGTTTGATTTTTAAGATAAGTATTATAAAAAAATTAATAAATTTATTATTAGATAAATTAGTAATTTTTTATTTTCTATAATTTTTAAAATCTTATTTTAAAAATCCTAAACCCTAAATTTTATTTTAATCTTTATACTTAAATTTTATGAGAAAATATATCAAATATTATTGTATAAAATTTAGATATTAATGTTCTTATTAGTAAAAATATTATATTAAATGATTGATTCTGCATAACTGTCTCAATTTATTACTTTTAAATATGTTATTGATGATCTGAATGATTAAAACAATAATTTTAAAAGTTATAGAGACTAAAAAATTAATTTTAAATTTAAAGAATCAAAAATAAATTTATCTTAAATTTAAAAAACTAAAAATATATTTAAGTCTAATTTTTTTTATATGTAGTCATTTTATTCATGAAAGTTGAGAATTTATGATTTGACTTGATGAAATCTAAATTCCTTTTAATTTAAATTTGATATTCTTTTATTCATTATTACATCTGATAATTAGTTGATATTTTAAAAGTCTTTACACTCACATTATGTAAAAATTAAACGTTTACTTTTCTTCAATTTCACCATTGTTGTAAATATATATAAACAAAATGAATTCACATATATTTTTCAAAGTACTATAAAGTAGGGTTGAACAATATTTATTGCCCCGACTGGACCTGTTAAACCCGAAAAGAAATAAGAAATTAGATGGAGATAATCAGGTTATGAATTTTAATCAGTTTAAAAATACATTAAAAACAGTTAAGTGCGAAATAATCAAGTTACGGATTTTAATCAATTTGAAAATACATTAAAAACGGTTAAGTACCGTCAATTTCAAGTTGGAACAAATGAAGTATGAAACCATCAATATCCCTCTCCCTTTATTGCTTTGTTCCGCTGTGGAATTTTATGACAAACTAAATAACCCATCCAATGAACCTTTGAAAATCGTTCGACTTACCCAATGTAATAATCATTTGGTTATGGATTACAAATGAAGGAGGTTTTTTTTTTTTTTTAATCGATTTTAGAATTTTAGGCCTAAATGTGTCCGAAACCTACCCTATTCAAACCTACTATAAAAAGTGTAGTTTACTTTAAACTTAAAAATCTGATCAAGCTACAAATTAAAATTTAATTCATTAATATTCTTCTATTTATACAATCCCGTGGTTTAATTTATTTAGAAAAGTTTATAAAATGTGAATGTTGATTTGAATGAAAACTAAATCATAAACCAAATCAAATTAAATTAGATTATTAATTACAATACCCATCATTTTTGCAATGTCAATGAAGAAGCGTGGAAGAGCATCTATCTTCTCTTGTGGTCATTGATGGAGTGGAGTGTTGGTCTCTACCTCTTATCGGTTAACCAATTTTTAAAAGTTTTTTTTCTTCTTCTTTTATAGCATTAAATACAGTTTATACACGTGTAAATAATAATAGATAACTAAGAAATCTAATTTAGTTAATTCAACAATCAACGATGTGCTTTAATTATTGTAAATTTTTTATGTTAAATTTGATTTTTATTGTAATACTCCAATATTTTTACTTTATTATTAAAAAATATTTTGATAAAATATTTTGGGCTGATTTTTTTAAAATGTATTTTATTTATATAAAATATTTGGATTTTTTTTATCAATATGTTATAATTAATATTTGAGAGAAGGAAGTGAATCATAATTAAAATTGTTTGTTAAAGGGTTAAGTGTGAGTTAAGGTTTGAAGGGAGGGGTTACCATAACTTATTTTTTTTATAATTCTTATTTTACTTTTACATTTGCACTTTGAAGATTTAGGGGAAGAAATAGAAATCATTGGAGATCACCTGAAGATTTGAATCCTTCAATTAGTGTTCACTAAGGTAATGTAGAGTGAGTAATCTCACTCTAGGTATGAGATAATTGTTGGGTTGTGAGATTAACCCCAATTTCCTTTCTATTGTATGTGTTGTATAAAGGAGAATCTCAATTTGTGACTTATATAACATTTTTATCTTCCATATGATTATTCAGTACTCTAATTGATGTCATTAACATATATGCATGGTTAAATTCGCACATTAAATTAATCTTGGATTACTCATAGGTTCATATGAGAATCCTAAGAAAATGCATTTTGGTATTTGTATAGGGAATTGGTATGAACATATGAATATATGTAATTAATGACTTAATACAGTGAGTTTAGACTTTTAATATATGATTCTATCAACTGAATGATCACTTTTGATGAAATTTTGTGATGAGATGAGACACAAGGTCTGAATAATTAAAGTTCGTAACAGGTTTGATTGGTCAATCACAAGCGTGATCAACATCGTGGATGTGATTGGTGGGTCATGACTATGATCTGTCCTGATCATTACCTTTTTAGAAACATTGAGCTAATGATAGGTTTGACCAGTGTCACGATTGTAATTGGTGAGTCATTATAGTGACTCATCATTTTGTTTGTTTTTCTCATTCATTCCTTATCTTTTTTATCCTTTTAATGTTATCACCTTCATTAATTGCTTAAGATGAGTTGTATTTATGAGTATGAGATAATATACTTTGATAATATAATATAGCATTGAGTCTTTTATGTAGAGCATGCATCATGTGCATGAACCATTTTACAATCGTACACAAAATTTCGCCCTCGAGCAATGTTAAAATATTTGACTAGCATCACATGCATACGTACATGAGGTTTGTGTCCATTGCATTATGCTTATCATTGTATAGTCATATGATGAACTCAATTTTAAATTGCAAACTTGGGTGATATACATATAAAAAATAAATGATGATATTATATTTTGTTGTGTTTTTTTACTATTCGACCTTATTCTATGTTGTGAAATAGAGTGAAATGTTTCTTACTCTATGTTATTCTAGTATATATGTGATTGTAAGTGAGGCTCATCATGATGTTTATTCGTATCTTAGGACACATAACATTAGACTTATTTCATGATGTTTTATTTAGAGACTACTATT